CACCCCCTCCCCTCCCCCAACACCGCATTCCAGGAATTCCAAAGTCGCTTCCATAAAAAAACCAACCAAACAAAACGAAACAAAACAAAAAAAAATTGGGAAAAAAACGGAGGCAGAGCCAAAGTTCTGGATTGAATTCCAGTCCCAAATTCCGGGAATTCCGACCGGAGCCGTGTCCTGCTCCTGCTCCTCCCGAGCTTCTGGGGGAATTTTGGTGCTTCCCAGCCCGGAATTCCGAGGGTGGATCCGGGATTTTCCGGGAAAAGGGGCAGCAGGAACGCTCCCAGAGTCAGGGAATTGATTCTGGGAATCTCCTGGAAAAATCCCTGCGGGTTTCCCAGCAAGGGGAGGGAGAAGGAATTCCGGGATTCCCGCAGGAGTCAGCTCCTCGTGGAAAAGCAGCTGGAATTTTGGGATCATCTCGTCCTTTCCCGAGGTTCTCCACGGATCCTGAGCCTCTGGATGGTCCTGGAAAGGCGCCTGGGAATTGTCTCAATCCCGAGGATTTGGGGAGAGGAGGATGGGCTCTGCATTCCTGGAATTCCATCCTGGATTCTTCCAGCCTGGATTCCTGAAATTCCATCCTGGATTCTTCCAGCCCGGATCCCAAATTCCATCCTGGATTCCCGAATTCCAGCCGGGATTCTCCCAGATCCGGGGCCACTCCCAGTCCTGGGAATTCCGAGCGATCCCTCGGAGAGGATCCGGCGATTCCCGGGAAAAAATCGGGATTTAAGGATCAAAGCTCCCGGATTTTCCAAAGGGAGGGGGAAAAAATTCCGTGGATCCAGCCCCAAAAATATCCCGGGATCCAAATTCCCAGGGATTGGCTCCAGCCATGATTGGAGCCTAGGAAGGGGTTGGGAATTTTCTGGAAAAATGGGAAAGGCCTCAAAAATGGGAAAGGTTGGGAATATCCAAAGGATTCCTGGGAATTTCTCAAGGGGGAAGTGAAGGGGAAAAAAATCCTGGAATTTTACAGGGAGAGGACGTGGGGAATCCTGGGAAAAGGGGATTTTTGGGAAGGGAGGAGATCCCAGAAAAAGTGGATTTTTGGGAATGAGGAATTCTGGGGTATCACAGGGAGGAGATCCCAAGAATCCCCAAAAAAGTGGAATTAAAAAAAAGGAGTTGTTCTGGAATTCCACAAGGAGCAGATCCAAGGAATCCCAGGAAAAAGGGGATTTTGGGGAGGGAATAAATCCCAGGAAAAGTGGATTTTTTGGGAATGAGCTCTCCTGGGAGACGTCAGGAGCAAACCCCAGGAATCTCAGGAAAAAAGGGGAATTTTGGGAAGAAGGAATTCTGGGATATCCCAGCGAACAGCATCCGGGAATCCCAGGGAAAAGAGAGACTTTTGGGAATCAGGAATCCTGGGATATCCCAGGAAAAAAAGGGGGAAATTTTGGGAATTAGGAATCCTGGGATATCCCAGAACAAAAAAAGGGGAATTTTGGGAATTAGAGCCCCTAAGGACGACCAATCCTCCCTCTCCACAAAAACCCCATAAATACAAACCAAAAACCGGGCACGCGAGGCAAATCCCGAATAAATAGGGCGGATCCCGGGAATTCCCAGCGGGCGGGGGCGGGGGTGCGGGAGGTGAAAAAAGCGGGAAGAGCCTCGGGAATTCCGGAATCCCAGGGTTTTAAGTGTCCTCGGTCATGTCCTGGCTGCCGGTCCGGGCAATCTTGCGCGGCGGCGCCGAGTTCTCGCCCTCCAGCTCGCCCTGCTCCTGCTCGCGCTTCTTGGCCGCATTCTGCAACAACGGCGGGCGCGTCCGGGGGGATTTTGGGGGATTTTAGGGGGTTTTGGGGGGTTTTGGGGGATTTTGGGGGATTTTAGGATTTTAGGGGTTCCAGGGGCAATTCCAGGGGGATTTTAGGGGTTCCAGGGGCAATTCCAGGGGGATTTTAGGGGTTCCAGGGGCAATTCCAGGGGGATTTTAGGGGTTCCAGGGGCAATTCCAGGGGGATTTTAGGGGTTCCAGGGGCAATTCCAGGGGGTTCCAGGGGCAATTCCAGGGGGTTCCAAGGGGTTCCAAGGGGATTTTAGGGGCAATTCCAGGAGAGTCCAGGGGGATTTTAGGGGTTCCAAGGGCAATTCCAGGGGTTCCAGGGGCAATTCCAGGGGGTTCCAAGGGGTTCCAGGGGGATTTCAGGGGCAATTCCAGAGGATTTTAGTGGGTTCCATGGGATTTCAGGGAATTTTAGGGGATTTCAGGGGTTCCAGGGGCAGTTCCAGGATTTTAGGGGATTCCAGGGAATTTTAGGGGGATCCAGGGGGATTTTGAGGGGTTCCAGGGGGATTTCAGGGAATTTTAGGGGATTTCAGGGGGTTCCAGGGAATTTTAGGGGGCTCCAGGGGATTTCAGGGGCAATTCCAGGGCAGACTCCCAGCACAGGGATCCCCAGTGTTCCCAAATCCCAGGACTCCTCAATCCCAGTATTCCCATTCCCAGTATTCCCACATCCCAACATTCCCATTCCCAGCATTCCCAAACCCAACCATTCCCAGCATTCCCACATCCCAACATTCCCAAACCCAAACATTCCCATTCCCAGCATTCCCATATCCCAACATTCCCATTCCCAGCATTCATCCCAGCATTCCCACACCCCAGAATTCCCAAACCATTCCCAAACTCCCCCCCACACGCTCCCCTCAATCCCAATTTTCCCTCATTCCCGGGGCAGAACCATCCCAGGATTTCCTGCCTGGCATTCCCACGTTCACCATTCCCACAGGAATGAACCAATCCCAAATTCCCAGAAAAGCTGGGAATGCTGGCTCCCAAGGGTCACCTTTTTGTCCCACTGCTGGTGGAGGTAGCGCAGGAGGATGTTTGTCTTCTCTGTCACAATAACTGGGAACAATTCCAAGGAAAAACAGGGAAAAAAATTCCAGGTTTTAGGAGGATAAATTTGGGAATAAGTAAAGGGGAAATTGGGAATAAACAGAGGGAAAATTGGGAGTAAATAAAGGGGAAATTGGGAAAAAACTGGGACTAAAAAAGGCAGAAATTTGGGATAAATAAGGAGCAAAGTTGGGATAAAAGAGGGGGAGAGTTGAGAACAAATAAAAGGAAGATTGGGAATAAATAAAGGGGAAATTGGGACTAAAAAGGGGGAAAATTTGGAATTAAAAAGGGGGAAATTTGGGATTAATATGGGGAAAATTGAGAATAAAGAGGGGGGAAGTTGGGAATTACTAAAGGGAAAATGGGAATTAAAAAAGGGAAAACTGGGAATTAAAAGGGGGAATATTGGGAATAATGAGGGAGGCTGGGACTGTAGGATCTCCCCGGTGAGGCCGATAAAAACCGGGATTTTCCCGGGAAAACTCACTCTGTTCCGAGGGGAATTCTCTGGTGGGCAAATACACCGAGGGACGGCGGTTCTGGAACGGGAACGAGAGAGAGCAGGGGTGGGATTGGGAAGGAATTCCAGGATTGGGGAACTCCAGGACTGGGGAACTCCAGGATTAGGGAGCACTCACGGAGGCCTTGCAGACGGAATCCGCATGGAACCTGCTGAAGTTGCTCTTGTTGTACACCGGGAGCCCCTTCAGGAAATCTGCCTGCAGAGCCACAATTCCCAAAAAACCCCTCAGGGAACGGGCAGGGACCCCGGGAGCGCTGGCCCACCCCAAACTCCAGGGGCTGAGGGGAAATTCCTGGGATTTGGGCAGCTCCAAGCTTTCCTTTCCCAGATAAAACTCCCAGCGTGATCCCAAGGCTGTGACCCCTGAACCCCCCCCCCACCCCCCCCCCATAAAACAAATGGTTCAGCCTCATTTTAGGGGGACCCCTCACCTTAGGGTGTCCCCCATAACACAAATGGTTCAGCCCCACTTTGGGGTGATCCCTGAACGCCCCGTAAAACAAATGGTTCAGCCCAACTTTTGAGTTACCCCCCACCCAAAATAAATGGTTCAACCCAACTTTAGGGTGATCCCTAATGTCCCCCCAAAAAACAAATGGTTCAGCCCCATTTTAGGTTGTCCCCCTGAACCCCCCATAAAACAAATGGTTCAGCCCCATTTTAGGGGGTCCCCCTGAACCCCGCCCATAAAACAAATGGTTCAACCCAACTTTAGGGTGTCCCTCTGAACCCCCCACCCAAAAAAAAATGGTTCAACCCCCCCCTTAGGGTGCCCCCCACCCATATCGGGGTGCTCCAACCTCACCCCCAGCCCAAACCCCGTCCTGGGGCGGCGCGGGGCCGCCATTGCGGCGGGGGGCTCACGTACCATCTTCGCCGCCGCCAGCCGGGAGGAGCCGCCCCGGCCCGCCCACTGTCATGGCCGCCCGCCTCGTGCGCGCCGATTGGTCCGCGCCGCGGAACGCTGCGTTGCTATTGGGTGTCGCGCCCGTCAATCATCGACGGGGAGGTTGGGTTGAAGCAGGAAGTGCCCGCGCGGAAGGGCGGGGCGGGTGCAGCGCGGGAGGACCCGGATGGAGCGAGCGCGGGGCATGCTGGGAGTTGTAGTTTGGGCGGCGAGACCGCTCTTCAATTAAGGAGCGGCTCATTAAGCGGCGGCTCATTAGCGGCGCGGGGAAAAAGAGGCGAATTCCTTCCCTGTATCCCATCCCAGAGGTGATGCTGGAATCAGGAGCGCAGAGGATGGGGCGGAGGCGCTGCTGAGTGAAGAAAACCTGAGTTCTATCCCCTAATTTCGCACCCCCAGCCTCCATCCTTCCCAAATATCCGCCCTGGAACGCGCCAGATCCCCCTCCTCATTAAACCCCCCGCCCTAATTAACGCAGCAACTTCCAGGCGACACGCTGGGATTTCAACACACTCCGCATTCCCACGTTTATAAACAAACCAAATTTAAAAAAACCTCGGAATAAACGCGCGGAAAAGGCGAGGATAATTTAACAGCTGAAGCAGCAAAGCCCCAAAGCCCTCAGAGGCACGGAGTGACAGGGCCAGCAGGGCTGGGCACCCCCTCCGGGCCCCGGCGGGCTCATCCCGGAGAAGAATTCCCGCAGAATTCCCGGGGCTCCCTCAGTGGCTCAGGGATTTCCTGCCCTTCAGCATCCGCCGCAGGATCACGGCGACCCCGCCGGGAGTTCTGATCCGTTTGATCCAGCCGTGAGTCTTCTTCCGCTTCCAGTTGTTGGGCTGGTACTCGTTGCCCCGGGATTTTCCACGGATTTGTCGGAAATTCCACGCTGGGACCGGGAGGCGGCAGAGAACGGCGGCGTTGGAAGGCCCGGGGAGAGGCTCCAGAGCGTTTGGCAGCAGCGGGAAGGGAAAACCTCGCAGCAGGGAGAAGCTTGGGGGAAATTAAAGCAGAACAAGGAGTGAGGAGAGGGAAATAAAGGATAAATTTGGAATTTTAAGGCTGGGATTTCCCCTCCCGGTACCTGCGGCTCCCGGCCCGCGCCCACACCGGCGCCAGCGCCGCCATTTTGCTCCGCCAGCCAACAACGCCGTTTCCCATTGGCTCCGTCCTCTCAGCCAATCACAGCGGGCGTTGCGCCGCAAGGGCTGATGGGGGTTGTAGTCCCCTGGGGTCGTGGCGGAGTTACCATGGCAACGGCGCCACTGCGGCCTTGTCGCCTCGGGGGCTGTCGGTTGTCCCCCAGGATGTCGCGACAGGCCATGAAGCCGCTCTGAAAGGGCTCCAGGAGAGCTGGAGAGGGACTTGGGACAAGGGATGGAGGGACAGGACACAGGGAGTGGATTTGGGACGGGAAAAGGGAGAGTTGGGCAGGATTTTGGGAAGGAATTCCTGCCTGGGAGGAAATGCGAGGGAATTCCAGCCCTGGAATGTCCAAGGAAAGCTGGGAGCAGCCTGGGATGGTCCAAGATGGGCCTGGCTGGGATTTCAGGTCTTTCCGAGCCAGACAATTCCAGGATTTTCCTTTTGGGGATCAATCCCAGCCCTATCCCAAGAGCAGGAGCAGCGCCGGGGTTTTTCCCTCCCGGTTTTTGTGGCCTGGCAAATAAACCCAAAATCTGGGGAAATAAACCCAAAACTCAACCCTGCTTTGGTGTTCGGCCTCCTGGGGGTGGCAGTGACACACCCCTGGCACTGCCACGCGTGTGACACGTTGGTGGCACTGCCACTCTCATGGCACTCGCCCCGTTTGCCACCGCACGAGCACCACGGTGTCACCACCCCATCCCAAATGCCACCTCTATCCCTGTCCCCATCCCTGTCCCTTTCCCTTATCCCTGTCCCCCTTGTCCCCTCTTGTCCTTGCTGCGGCCCCCGGCTCTCAGTGGCCCCTCGCGGTGTCCATCAGACCCTGACCCTTATCCCTGTCCCCATCCCTGTCCCTTTCCCTTATCCCTGTCCCCCTTGTCCCCTCTTGTCCTTGCTGCGGCCCCCGGCTCTCAGTGGTTTTCACCGCCCTGCTCCGCCTCTCCACCGGGAATCCTGCGGAATTCCAGGATTTGCAGCGGGAATCCTGCGCAATTCCAGGATTTGCAACGGGAATTCTGCGCAATTCCAGGATTTTTTTCCTCACCCCGCATCCCCGGAGCCCCCGGGCCATCGATGAGGTGAGCGGCGCTTTTTTCCCTGCGGGAATGTCCTGCTGCTGGGGGTGGGGGTGACCCAAAAATGCGGGAATTTTTTTCCCCGTCGGGAAAAAAAAAAAAAAAAAAAAAAAAAAATCTGGGATGCGAGGGGGGTTGGGATGTTGTGGGGCAGAGAGGAGCCGCGAAAAACCCGGATTTGTGCAGGTGCGCCAGGGAGGGGGGAAAGGAGGGGGAATTATCCTGGAAACCCAGCCTGGGAAAAGCTTCCTTCGTTCCTTCCTTCATTCCTTCCTTTATTCCTTCCTTTATTCCTTCCTTTATTCCTTTATTCTTTCCTTCATTCCTTCCTTCCTTCCTTCCTTCCTTCATTCCTTCCTCCCCTCGTGATGCAACGGCCGGGAAGGATTGCTGGGGGGGGAGTGGGGTCTGATCCCGCTGGAATTTCGGCTGGAATTTTGGGAAAATCTGCCCGTGGTGGGGGAGAGGCTGGGCTGTTCCAGTGCTTGATTCCAAACCCTGATTCCAAACCCTGATCCCAAACCCAGATTCCAAATCCTGATCCCAAACCCTGATCCCAAAGGCTCCTGATTCCAAACCCTGATCCCAAACCCTGATCCCAACCCCAGATCCCAAACCCTGATCCCAAAGTCTCCTGATTCCAACCCCAGATCCCAAACCCTGATCCCCAGTCCCCTGTGCCATTCCCGTGTCCCCTGTGCCAGTCCCGGTGCCAGGATCCCAAGGCAGGATCCCTTGGCTGGATCCCTTCATTCCCACCTCATTTCCATTCCCAGCCTTACATAACAGGCACTGGATTCCCAAATTCCCGAAATCCTGAATTCCTGAAATCCTGAATTCCCAGATTCCCAGATTCCTGAACTCACAGATTCCTGAACTCACAGATTCCCAGATTTCCAGATTCTCAGATTCCTGGATTCCAAATTTCCCAAATTCCTGAATTCCCAGATTTCCAATTTCCCAGATTCCCGAATTCCCAAATTCCCAGATTCCTGAATTCCCAGATCCTGGATTCCCAGATTCCTGGATCCCAGATTCCCAGATTCCCGATTTCCCAGATTCCCGGGATCCCTCGGGCAGCCGGAGGGGCTGGGAAGGAGCCGGGTTGGGATAATTCCCCCCCCCCCCATCCCGTTTCCATGGCAACCGGCACCATTCCCGCCTTCCTGCATCCATCGGGATCCTGCTCCAGCCTTTCCAACCTGGATGTTCTGGGCACGGAGCGCAGGGGAGGTGGGAGACAGGAGACGGGAATCTGGGGATCCAGGGATCTGGGAGTGTGGGGATCCGGGAATGTGGGAATCCAGGGATCTGGGAATGTGGGGATCCGGGAATGTGGGAATCCAGGGATCTGGGAATGTGGGGATTTGGGAATCTGGGAATCCAGGGGTCTGGGAATGTGGGGGTCTGGGCATCCGGGAATCTGGGGATCCAGGGATCTGGGAGTGTGGGGATCCGGGAGTCTGGGGATCCTGATATCTGGGAATCTGGAATCAGGACATCTGAGGAACTGGGGATCTGAAATTCAGGAATATGGGAATCCAGGAATCCAGAAATCTGGGAATCTGGAAATCCAGGGATCCATGATCCAGAAATCTGGGAATTTGGGAATCTGGGGATCCAGGAGTGAGGCTGGGATTTACCCCTGGAAGCTCTGGGCAGGTTGGATTTTGGGATGCCAGAGGGATTTTCCAGCCTTAATTCCAGGATTTCAGGCGGGTTTGTCTGGATTTCCATCGGGAATGGGCAGATCCAGGGAATGGATCTCGGGGATCCTGCTGGAATGGGAACTGGGATCCTGATCCCACAGAAATGGGAACTGGGATCCCACAGGAATGCGATTTGGGATCTGGGATCCCACAGGAATGGGAACTGGAATCCTGCTGGAATGGGATTTGGGATCTGGGATCCCACAGGAATGGGAACTGGGATCCTGCTGGAATGGGATTTGGGATCTGGGATCCCACAGGAATGGGAACTGGGATCCTGCTGGAATGGGATTTGGGATCTGGGATCCCACAGGAATGGGAACTGGGATCCCACAGGAATGGGATTTGGGAACTGGGATCCCACAGGAATGGGATTTGGGATCTGGGATCCTGCTGGAATGGGAACTGGGATCCTGCTGGAATGGGATCTGGGATCTGGGATCCCTCAGGAATGGGATCTGGGATGAGGATCCCACAGGAATGGGATCAGGATCCCTCAGGATCAGCGCTCGGATCCCGCTCTCTCCTCCCGCTGCCATCAATAATTCACCGCGTTCGTTTTCCCCTCAGCCACAATTAACCCATTCCCAACCTCCGTGCCCCCATTCCCACCAGCTTCTCCCTGAATATTCCGAAAATCCCAAGATTTCAACTCCAGCAGCGAGCTTTGGGAACAGCCAGGATAATCCCCCCCCCCCCCCCCCCCCCCCCCCCCTTTCTTTGTTTTGTTTTTTTTTTT